ATCGTGCCAACTTTGCAAGCTCATAACCTTCAACTCAAGCATCCAAATGAAATCTTTCTTTTGACATTGCATTCTTTGTTATGATGTGATCATTTTTCAAAAAGAATGGGAGGCAACAGTCAAGTCTACACAATATCACGAGGGATTGAACATGGCTACTTGGAACTGAATTTTGCTTGAAAATAAGTTTTGTAAACTCACTCAGTTCCCAATTTTAAGTCAAGCATTGCACGTGTTTAAGGGCTGATGATGTTAAGTGGTAGTTACTGATCAAACACGACATGAAATGGCTTGGAATGACCTGTGTTTTGATGACTTTCCATTCAAGTTTGGTCACACTTTTGGTGGACATGATTTCACATGAATTGCAACTAGTTTTCACACGTATCCCATTCACTCACCTCAGCTATAAATAGAGCAATCATTTGCACTGCATTTCAAGCTTAGAAAGCCCCCAGAATCTCTGCTCGAGCTCCGACTTTGCACTAAATTTTTGAGTTGTCATTTTCAAATTCTAAGCTCTTTCAACCTTGTTTCTTGATTCCATTAGCACCTTTGATCTCCTCTAAAGATTTTGCAACAAATACCAAGCTCTAAGACTCATTGAAGTGCTCTAACCATATCCAACTTTCAACACCTTCGAACATCATTTAGACAAGGTAGTTCTGAGCATCTTTTGGACCCAAACAAGTTACCACAATGTAGTCTGACTCTCTCTGATCGTTTTCCTTAACTTACTTTGAGTTGATTATTCACATTTGACATTCAATTTCTCTTTTTGTGTTAGCATTTTCATTGTGTTTTCTTTAAAATTCTATTTGCTCACTTTCAATCAATGGAAATGAAGCATGAGGTTGAGTTCACACTGATGAAACGGTCACAATGGTGGTGATTTTGTTACCTAAGTTTGCAAAATGCTAAACTCCAGTGAGAAACTCACCAGAGAAGACGGTCGGAAGTGCTCTCGTGGTGGCCTGAGGTTGTTTAATTTGAATTTGATCAAGTGCATTATTTCATTTAGAGCCCATTGCGTTTCTTTATATTCTGACTTTTAGATTTATTTTAAATTAAATCTGATGGCTACACGCGTATTTGGATACCAGCATTTGATCTGATCTAATGGTTGTGGTTTTTTGCAGCTTTTTATTTCATTTTATTTGTTTTTAATTTCTCGTTTATTTTGAATATCATAAAATAATAGTCCCCTTAATCTTTTTCACTCCAATTTTTTTTTCATAATTTTCTAAAAATATTTTATATTTTATGTGCATTTTTTCACATTTTAATTTAACAATTTGATATTTTTCATTATTTTTCACTTTTTCATGCATTTTAATTTGTTTTAAAATACTTTTATACATTTTTAAATTCTCTAAAAATTATTACATGATCTTTGACTTGTTTCTGACTTATCTTAAATTTCTTAAGCATTTAATAGTTGATTAGAGACTTTATCTTGATTTTCTCTTTTATTTCCATTTATAAAAAAAATTAAAATCTTTTTCATGCATTTTTATTTGTATAATTTTTTATTTTAGCTTGGTTGCTGGTTGTTGCTTTGGATCATGATTTTTGATCAAAAAAATTCTCAATTTCAATGAATTTTGGGTGTTGATGAGGCTGGATGAATCTTTATCAATTCAAATTTATAATTAAATGAATAATTGATTCATTTTTGGTGCTTTGGGTTGATGATATGTTCAGTGCCATAATCAATCAAGAAAGGTGATTGAAATTGATGATAAATAGATCTTAAGTCTTGATTCAATTTGGTTCCTATCTTCATCTTCCCTTCTCCTTTTTTGTTTTTCTTTTCTCTTGATTAATTGGATGATTTGGTGTCCATCTTGATCACGATGTTTGGATTAATGTTTGATGAACTTTCATCATTTCAAATCTATCATTCAATTGATCATGGATCATTGGAGGTACTTTAGATTGATGCATCAGTTTGTCCTAAGTTGTTATGAAGAAAGATTGATGTAATGGACCTATCTTTTTGCCTTAGTGTTTGATCTCTCTTTGGTTTTTATACTTGTGCTACATATTTTAGGAGTATGATTTCTATCATATCTCTAACATGTATGATACATAAATTATTATTGACCGGTCTCCTATAGTATGATCTTCCTAATAGATTATGCTACGATTGTTTAACATAGCGCTAAATTTGTCCTGAATCGAACCATCGACTTTGACATTAATACTAACAATATTATTATGCTAACTTTTACTTTATGTCATTTACTTTTCTTGCACCTTTATTTTTTTTCTCTTTATATTATGTCTTTACTTTCATCATTTACATTTCATATTTTTTTTATGTTTATGCTCCTTTTTCCTTTATCCACTTGAACTTTTCTTTTCTTTTAAAGACATTAATAAAGGAAAAAAAAACCTAAAAATTTGTTAATCTCTCTTGAACTGTGGCTACTATCCTTTCCTTGACTTGGAGTTTGACTTATCGACTTAAAATTAGGCTTCCCATGCTTGGAGTTTGCTTATCTGAAACTTGAAAGTTCATCTGATACCATGCTTTGCCTGAAATCTTAAGTTCATGTGATACATGTGGCCTTGAATCAAGCTTGGAGGATATATTTGTTTCTCTGTGACTTTATTTGTCTGGATCTTCTTGTGTTTATCTGTTTATTGCTTGTGGCTTGCTCCAAAGGAATGAGATTTTGGTCTTGACTCTTATCAAGTGTTGGCTAGATTCTAGTTAGTACACTTGCACACACTTTCACTTTATTCCTTTTATTAATATAGTCTCTTCATCTCTCCCCTTCTTAAATTTTCAAAATCTTCTCCCTTTTTTAAAACCTTCTTGTTTTCTAACTTGAATCACTTTCTCGATAAACATTGACTTTGTCAAGTGATTTTCAAACTCTTTTTCTTAAATAAATTCTAAGACATCTTAAGCATATCAAAACCATTTCAAAAGACATAAAAAACACACAACTCATTCAAACTATTTTGTGCTCTTTGTGCACTTTTTCTTTTAAAACATTTTCTCAAAAATTAGACATGAGTCATTTTCATAGTTGAGATGTGATTCTCCTATCTCCATAGTAATGATTGAAATGATGTTTATTCTTTTCCACTTGAAAGAGTTAGTGACATACTTGTTGATTTCTATCCAAATTGGAGCTCTTCTTAATAGTGATGTAATGGTTCATTTTTCATATACTTGTGGGAGATTTGTTGAGTTTTCTCCTTAAAATGACAAATTGTCTTTTTATTTTAAATCAATCAAAACAAACTATTTTCTTATTTTTACAAAGAACTGAGGTTTTGATCCTCCATTACACTTTGTGGGTACGTAGGCACGAGACTCAGAAAGTATTGTCAAACACCAAAAATCCTAAAAAATATAAACAACAAGTTTTAAACCAAACATAAATTTTCAACAGATTCCTATAAAGTATTATATATGTTTTGTATCCTAACACCTTCCCATTGTATAACCAACTCTTTTACCTTTTGTCTCTCTGTTTTATTAATTTCGTTTTAAAACTTCTATGAAATATATTCGCTCTTTTCTCATTCATTTGAAAAAAATAAAATGCGGTAGTAACTCTTTCTTTTATAAATTAAGTTAATCAATAACTTAAATCTCAAATTTTCACAGTTACACCATCCCACCTTTAACAATTATTTGAGAAAAATCAATGACAAATCTAACACTATATTAGGTTTGTGTAAATTTTCTGACGATTGCCTTGCATTTATACTAGATATTACACAAATTTTGATACAATCTCAAACATTTCTACCAAGTTATATAAGAATCTTATAAGATTAGGTTTGTGTAAATTTTCTGCCTTGCATTTATACTAGATATTACACAAATTTTGATACAATCTCATACATTTCTACCGAGTCATATAACAATCTAATAACACTATATTAGGGTTGTGTAAATGTTTGAAAATTGCCTTGCATTTATACTAGATATTACACAAAATTGCATACAATCTCATACATTTCTACCGAGTGTTATATAAGAATCTGATATCACCTCTACATACTACACCGGATTTATGAAGAATTTATCCTACAACCCAATATTTATTCATGTGCCGCAACAATTCACTTGACTTAACTTACTAGCCTTTGTTTATATCGTTAAACTTTCAAAAATTTCAACCTTTTTATCTTTCAATTTATCTTATGCATTTTCAACTTTTTTATCTTTCAATTGATCTTAAGCACAAGTTAGAGAAGAGAGGAAAACACCCCGCATTGCTTCCCGGAGCAGTCCAAGTTTCCGAAACACGAGATCTATTTGTTTTAACTGTTCTGGTATACAATGAGGAGTGGTTTCCTCTTTTCTCACTTGTGTAGGTAACAATGGAAAGAGATGAGAGAGAAATGAACTTTTAAAAGGGCAATAGTCATTTCATCTAAAGTGTGGGGGGTGCCAAATACAATCCTACTGGCCCGAAACACCTTGTGTATCAGGTAGAATTGATTTTGGATGATAAAATCAACTTCAAAAGGGAAAACCAAACATATTTGCACAAGAGCAGAATCACTTCTATGGGTAGAGAATTTTAGAGCTTAGAGATATATCCTCATGTTTACTAACAAAGAACTAACTGATTATTACTTTTTGCTACATGGATACAGAGTCTTTGCACATCAGTTGTAACTAAAAATCCCTGGCACAATTGGTAGAATCAACCACTAACAAGTAACAAATGCAAGATAATAGAACCACAGTGGATTCAACTCTTCATTGGATAAAACCATGGCAAGAGCTCTGTAGGTTGCCTCTTTTTTGTTGCTACATAAGGGATATATTGTTTGTTATCACTATTCTCCCTGGTATAAATTGTTGCAAACTTATCCTAAATTCTTAAAACTCTTAACATATTGCAAGGCTACTTGAATTCAAAAACAAAACTTCCTTATCAACTAATGCACAAATTAATATCTTCTAAACAAGAATGGAAAAGAATTCATAGGGCATGTAATGCATAGATAATATGTCATGATTTTCATTCCTTGAAGTCATCTTTGTCATCAATGGGAATTGGAGTATTCCTCCAATACACAGCTAGGGCACTCCCACCAAGCTGCATGACAACAGTAGTAAGTAATTATCATTGATAACATCCTAAATTCTTCTATAAGAAATGAACAAAACTAAAAAAAGTCGAATAGAAAGGGGAAAATGTCCTATCTTACCGCCATGCAGACAACACTGACAGCAGAAGGAACAGCCACAAGGGGGTTTGTGAAGTGTTTCTGAGCAAGCAAGAATCCAAGCGCAGAACTCTGCAAACAATAATTAAAACGTTACTATAAAACGATCAAGCCTAAAGCACTACCAAGTGGAGTTATCTTCTTATACAAGTTCTACGATAACAATGGATGTTGTCTGTCGTATGAAGAGAAAGCATACCTGCATCCCACACTCAATCGATATTGTACGTGATGTGGATTCGCCAAATGATGTTTTTGAAATCCAATAACCAATAGCAAATGCAGCAGCATGTAGAGCAAGAACTGGCAATATCAATTGTGCTCCTTGAGTTTTTAAGACCTCCGAAACTTGCCCTATCTGAAAGGTTAATAACTGTCAATTTCCATGCAAAGCGAGATTAAAGCCTATCAAACTGTTGGCTAAAGTAAACTGCTGGCTAAAGGAGATTAAAGCCAATGCGCATCATCTCATATAACTTGTTCAACTTACTGGGCTTGCACAAAGGAGAGTGGTCAAGATAACTCCTATCAAAGGTGTGACCGTGATTATCTTTGAAGTGAACTTGGGGAAAAACTCATTTGCCAAAACTGCGAGATATAGCAAAAACATGTTCAAAATCATCCTGATCTTTAAGAACCAAATGGAGACACATTAGAATATAAATTCAAGTGCTCATCCAACTAACCCTAACACATATAACTTGAAAGATTCAGACAACCATATCTTACCTCCCACAATTGTAGGGACTAAAACAACCTGAAAGGTGCTTATTGCCAGGCCCTGGAAACGTAACAACAGTTTCATTACATGAATGAAAAAACTAAAAATATAAGATATAATGAAATTTTTGTCCGCAATAATGTGAAAAAATTACAGTACAGCCAGAACAGTCACTGAGTATTTCGGAAAAAAATAAAAAACAAAAACAGTCATTTCTAGATACTGAGGCCCTGTTAACATTGTGAAAACATTTTCTATTTTTACATTCTAAAATATGAGTTAATTTTATATGCTAACAAAGAGATAATAGACTCTTGAAGTAAACAATTGTGTGCATTTTTGGAAACAAAGAAAATGCAAAAAGAATAAAAAAAATTGTTTTCATTATTTTCAAAAATGCATCATGCCTAGCTATCTTTTCATATTTTCCCCATCACAATAATTCACTTCAAGAGTCTCGCATCTTATTGACAAGATAAAAAGAAAACATTTCAGAAATTAAAAATAAAAAATGTTTTCACAAAGTAAACGGGCCTTACTTTTTCACATGATTAGGAGATAGTACGATTTGTATTGTCAAGTGTCAACTACACATTTTATAAACAATCCTTTCGTGCTAAAATATAGTCAAGCCACAACTTACAGCAGCATCAACTGGAACAAGTTGACCAGCTAGAAGCTTTGTTAGAAGTGGGGTCATAATAATAGCTCCGATAGTTGAACACCTGTAGAATGGTACATAACATGTTGGTAACCTGACTTTCGAAAAATACTCCTCTACATGACAATATTAATAAACACCAGATAAATTCATCGCAGCTACAAAATACAAAAATAGCAAAGCTAAAAATACTTCATCTAGGTATAACATGAAAAAACTGCAACAATGACACATTTAAGTTGCATGTTTGAAGATGACATTAAAGTTGCACTCAGAGAAGGTGCGAAGGCTCTTCTTGTTTCCGAAAGATACATACAATACCACAAATTTAGGCGTGTTAGGAATGTGGTACAAAAGATAACTAAATCCAATCCTATTGGTATTACTATTTTACCATAGAATGGTTCTAAATTCATATACGATCTGATCCAATTTAATCTAAATCAATTTGTACGGGATCAGTTATTCAACTTTTGTTTAGTTTTGTTTCATTTTTTTATGACAGTAAATAAAACATAAGATACAACAAATATGATAAAAACTAATTTATATTACATATAAGTCCAACACTAAAACTTACAAGGCTGAAAATGATATTATTTACTTCATACTCAACCTACTAGAAGTAAACCTACACAACACTACAACCAGTATTTTTAAGTCATAAAATGTTATATTTTACTGAGCTTAATCAAAAACAGAAAAAACTATATAACATGTAACAACAAATCAAGAGTTTATTATAAATACATTAAAATAATAGGGCTGATTTAGAAAACAAGAACAGAGAAGAAAACTGGTAAGGAATTTTTCTAACTATGGGAGAAATGGTAATTTCATATGTAAGTTATATAAAGAAATGCAAATAGCTCAATGAATACAGAAATCACTAAAAAGCAACCGAAATAAGCCCGAGAAAAAATAAAATAGAAAATACATAGGTAACCAAACAATGAAATGTGAGTTACACATACGTTGTCATTAGAACAGAGAGAGCAACGTTTCCCTTGGATATGTATGTTGCAACATTTGATGCCTGGCCTCCAGGACAGCATGAGACCAAAATAAGACCCGTTGCAAGAGGAGCCGAAAGTTTTAGGGACTGAAAAACAGAAATTGATGTTAGCAGATTTGGCATGATATAGGTTCTTTTGATCCACACCACATCAGCTAGTAGTATGAGATAAATAACCAATCTTACAAATTTTGGTCTCTATTCTCTAATAACTATAATACACTATTTTAAGAAAATATGTGTACAGAACAAAAAATATAAGTGACGGGCATCAATAGGGGTTTAAGCTATGGTGGTTTTAACCACCCACACCAAAAATAATACCGCATATCCCAAAAATGGCCTCAATAAATAACTAGCTATGTTGCGTCCAACAAGGTACAAAACACTTAATAAACCAATATCATTGATACAGTTATTTGATGACAATCTTACGAAGTAATTTAAAATATAACAGGGCATAACACATTTCAAGAACTAATTTAATTGAAGCAGCACAATAGCAAAGCATGAACATGCTAAAAAACAAATAAATAAAAAAATACCATTGCAATGGCAAAGCCTAGCAAGGGCTTCACAAAATATTGTGCAAGAAACCCCACACCCACCTGCAAAAACAAAATTAATATTATTGAAATGGAGGAACAAACAGAAAAAAGATTTCCTTTAAACACGAGTGATTGTTACTTACAGTCCACGGGTTTCGCAGACATCGTTTGAAATCATCAAATGTCAATGTCAAACCCATAGAGAGCATGAGGAAACCCAAGCCAAGAGTAAAAAGGTCTGTCTCCAACCAAGTTACCTGGAATAAAATCATAACAATATATTAGTTAATAAAAATATTGTACTCAACCATGAAAATAGCTGCAGAGAGACAGAGTTGTTACAGCAGCTGGCTTGTAAATACCGAGGATAGCCCCCAAAATGACCTGCACGTGTAAGCTAAAGTCAGACGGCTTTCAACAACTGAATAAGTAAGACTATGAAATCGGAAAGATAGTAGGTAGAAGAAGAAAAATCTTAGACTTACCCACAGGGGAAAAAGAGTGGTTAAAGTTTCAATAGCTTTCTCATACTGGCTCAGGCCCCCGGAACTTTCAGGAATATCTCCAGAAATGTTTGTTGTAGCTGAGCACAATATTTGTGAGTTCCTAAGCATAGCAATACACAAGTCATTAGCACTTACCTAAAGAATGTTAAACAAAATACTCCAGCGCCTTTTAACAACAACAACAACCAAGTCTTATTCCACTAAGTGGAGTCGGCTACATGGATCAACTCCCGCCATAATGTTCTACTCAAGACCATGCTTTTATCCAAATCATTAATCTCAAGATCTTTCTTAATAATTTCTCAGTTTTTCTAGGTCTTCCTCTACCTTTAACTATTTGAATCCTCTCCATCTGATCTACTGTCGTCACCACAAAATCTACAAGTCTTCTCTCTACATGCACAAACCACCTAAGTCTATTTTCCACCATCTTTTCTACTATAGATGATACCCCAACACTCTAATATTTTCATTTCTAATCTTAGCATGTCTAGTCTTACCATACGTCCAACGCAACATCCTCATCTCTACTATACTAATTTTATTCTCGTGATGATTCTTAACCGCCTAACATTCAGTCCCGTACAAGCGCCTTTTAAAAAAGATAAAATTCAGTGGTCAGTGCCGGACTAATACATAACAGATTTAGAGAAACACTGTCATAAGGTGGTTAGGCCTTTTTCAATCCAATTTTTATTTTAAATCAATAATGTGAAAATGAAGACAATGCTATCATGCAGCTAAGTTTCTTTTTTCAAGTAAAGGAGGAAAGGAAGACAAGACATGCTAAACATTAAGAGCACTTAGTTTCATTCCAGCAATGAAATAAATCATAAACCTAACATTGAGAACAGGAGGATTACTTCACAGTAAGAATTTTAGTAGCACATTACTTACGAATGAGAAAAAACAATCTGAGCATGGGAGTATCTCTAATGGCTTAATTAAAATGTGCACTGAAAAGCTAAATTTCAATAAAAGCGCATAGATTACAATGTTTATAAATTTCACAAGTTAGAATATTATCCAGTGCATTGTTTGCCTTTTCCTCTCTTTATTTTTTTTCTCTCTTCCCTTCTTTCTACTCTAAAAATAGAATGAGTAACTTAAATCTCAGCATAGTACAAATCTTTCCTTGAAGACAATCAATAATACATGTGCAAGAACAGACTAGCCCTTCACACAAGAGCTTTAACAGTTTTCAATCTTTTTTAACAATTTACAAAACTTCTATCCATTCAACAATACCAAACAAAAGCCACCCTAGCTTAGCTACATCGTACTATCATCCTAGCCTACATGTGGAAGTATTAATTCCATATCCTCAAATCCTCCCACAAACTCCAATTATATGAAATAAAACATTTTTTTCAATATTTAGTGTATGTTTAGTTCTGGTTAAGCGAGTTGAATGAAAAGGGATTTATGTTTGGATAACTTTATGTAAAAATTGAGTTGAACCTTAAATTTCAATGTAAAAATCATGCTTAAACTCAAAAGCTACAAATTATAGTTTCAAATAGAATCAATAATGGAGGCAGAATTAATTATACTTTAGAAGAATCAAACACTTCAAAATCATTCCGAAATCAATTCCAACACCCAAAACCATGACACTAACCCGTGGCGGGCCCCATTCATGCCTTCATTGCATGCCACTAGACTCATTGCATGTTTAGAAAAGATTGGTGTACCTTTTAGAACTCAGAGGATCTATAGGGAATCTAGCAGCCGCAACAATCGAATTTGAGCTCCGCAACTCACTTCTAACTGCACAGCTTCTCCCAAAATCGCTTCTCACGTCTTAAAAAAAACACAAACAACAATGCAAAACATATTAGCAAAACGAAATGAAAAAAAAAAAAACACAGATCAAACAGTACAACATACCTAAATGGCTATTAACAAAGTTTCTCCGAGGGAGATAAGTATAATTTGGCTTAAGAATCGCATTGAATGATCCAATTCTATGGTCTCTGAGAATGATTCTGGGCATGGAAGCCATTGATTAGATCAGAGAGAGAAATAGGGTTTAATGTGAAAAGGGGTTTATTGATTCCGTTAGATACTAAAATACTAGAAAAGGAAATGGAGAAAGCGAAGTGGTAGAAAATTGGAGTGTGGAAAGTGAGGAGAACGAAAATTGAAATGAGAGTGACTAGTTTGGGGGATAGCGAATTATTACCGAGAATGGATAACGTGGAATAGAATGAACCACAAACGCTTCTGCGTTATCCACATCCATATCTTCCCCCTTTGCTCACAACTTCCAGCCAGGCTAGTAGTACATGCATAAAGTATATGTATGAATTATTAAATTATTAAATTCAACCATCAATTTTTTAATATTTGACTTTAATTAATGTTTCTTGTCAGTATTTTGATTTTATAATTAAATTAATATTTTCTTTTATTAAATTTTACAAAAAGTAATGTTTGAAGAAAAGAAAAAATATGTACTAGTTAGTATATCCCGCTATGTCATGCTTTTATTTTTAAAGAATTGACATGATAAGATTTAATGTTAAAATTTTATTGAATAATAGTGTAAAATTATTTTTCACTTAAAATTTTATTGAATAATTTCTCTCATGCACTTTAAGTTGTTTTGAAGCATAAGCTATAATTTGTTGATGTTGCATCAACCCACCTCTCAATCTTATCAACGAAGCATCACAATATAAAACAAACGGTCCTGTCGGATTAGGCAAAATCAAAATAAGAGATGTCCTCAATCTTTTCTTAAGTTCTTGAAAATTTTCTTCACACTTTGCATCCCAAACAAAAGTTTGACTATTCCTAGTCAACTACGTCAACGACAAGACTAATTTGGAAAATTCTTTAATGAATTTTCAATAGTAACTTGCCAAACCAAGAAAACTTCTAATCTCAAAAACTGATTTCGGAGCTTCCCACTGCGATACAACTTCAACCTTCAACGGATCAACTACAATACCTCTACTCAAAATCACGTGACCAAGAAAACTCATTTCCTTCAACCAAAACTCGCACTTAGAAAGTTTGGCATACAACTGCTTCTCTTTCAACACTGATAACATAATTCTCAAATGCTCAACATGATCCTCTTCACTCTTCGAATAGATCAAAATATCATCAATGAACGCAACCACAAACTTGTCCAAATACGGATGAAAAATCCTGTTCGTGTACTCCATAAATACACCTGGTGCATTAGTCACACCAAACGGCATCACAGAATACTCATTATGGTCATACATTGTTCTAAAAGCAGTCTTCTGAATATCTTCAACCTTCTCATGTATCTGATGATACCAAGACCTCAAATCTATCTTACCGAATACACTTGCATCAACCAAGTGATCCATCAGATCATCAATCCTCAGAAGTGGATACTTATTCTTAATAGTCACCTTGTTCAATTGTCTATAGTCCACACAAAGCCTCATAGAACCTTCTTTCTTCTTAACCAACAAAACTGGTGTACCCCATAGTGACACACTCGGACGAATGAATCTCTTCTCAAGTAGATCTTCGAGTTGACTCTTCAACTCTTTCAATTCCGATGCAGACTTACGATATGGAGCCATTGATATCGGACTAGTTCCAAAAACTAAGTCGATCGCAAACTCCATTTCACGTTCCGATGGTAAATCACTTATCTCATATGGAAAAACTTCCAGAAAATCACAAACAATATCGATAGTGTTACACACATATCGAATATAAAAAGGAATAAACGCATTAACAACTTGGTCAACTGACCGACCATGCTCTGATACCATTAATGTAACACTCTTCTAAATCCCATGAAATAGTACATCATAAATCAAAGTAAGATAACATGCATCTCAAATAAATGTGTCACATATAATTCAAACATCACACATACACCTGTCATGCTCTATAACGCTTAAATTAAATTCATGTTTTTCATACACTTTCACATAGCATGTAGCAGCGAAATCACTTTCATTCATAAGGCACATAAATAGTCTCATAAATAACTCATTCATATCACCATTTATGCATGAAAGTCAAAACTCCACATAATTCAAATAACGATAGCAAAATAAAATAGAGTACATAAAGCATCTCTCAAAACATGAATCAAAATATTCTCAGTGTTACATGACCAGAGCATGACTCAAACCAAAATAAATAAGGAAAATAAAGTAAGCAACTCCAACAGCTACCCTCGTGCTAGAAGCAACTCTACTCTTCAGTACCTGAGCGATGTCGTATAAAATATCATTCCAACAGAATGGTGAGAATTCACATAATTATCGAAATTATACAATAATATATAATACATAGCATACATGCATAGCATAATCATTTTCACACTTCAAATGCTTTATAAACATAGCATCACTCAAGCAACCATACTATTCAGAGGTACATACTCATAAATCCACAATTTCACCAATTTATCAAATTCACATAATGCACATAATCTCATATTGCAATCATAGACATAATATGACTCAATGCAAGACTCAAATGTAATACTGATACATGTGGTACCAATCACTAATTTTTGGTTTTTACATTAAATCGGGTCCGTTCTCTAGACCAATAACACATAAAATTCCGACCTCTAAGCTTCAAACCCCTCTCTAGGTTTGGGACAAGTCACTAGTTTCCACAGAACTAACAAGCATTGTCTATTGACAACAATGATGCATGTGCAAGTTCAACAACCATATGCAATTAAGATCATCCCTCGATCTTAACATCCATGCATATCTTTAATAATTCATCATAATTGAGTTACCACACAATTATACATACTTGCACATATTTATGAATCATCCACACACAGTTCACTTTCAAATGGTATACAACATATTTTACAATACAATCACAATTGTATTATCATTACAACAAGCAATAACTATCATGCATTTCATGTTTTTACACACCAAAATATACTTATACAAGCACACACATAAATATTCGATAAATTATCCACAAATAATTTCACAATCGGTAGCAAACAGTGCAACAATTCATTAATAGAACTTATACATAATTGGCTTCCCAAACATATTAGATATAAAAATATCGGGCAACCAATTCTATTATTTATACTATGTTATATCTCTATTCATTATCTTTCTGACGCTTCGAACGGGGACCAAAACAGACTTATGGATAAAAAATTATGATCGAGACAATTCCGGGTATGAAATCCAGCGAGCTGACACGGCCACCTGTGTTAAAGGACACGGCCCGTGGCACTCCAAAGTCAAAAAATCACGTTTTTGCACTCCAAAACAGGGGGGCTGACACGACCACCTGTGTCAGAGCCCAGAAAAACCAATTTTCACTGTTAGAGGCCTTTTAGACCTCCGATTTTGATTCCATAAAAAGTTCCAGTTCCAGAATTCGAAATACTACCATTATATGATAATTATAATAGTCCACAACATATATTTAAGGATCCTACCATCATACATCATATAATCATCAATTTCAAAACCATGAAAAGTATGGATTTTTATCCTAAATATGATACTACCTATCATACACTATCATACAATTTTATAACCATGTAAAGACCCACCCTTACCTTGATTTCTTGATGAACTCTTGAGTTTCCTTTTTAGGTTTTCTTCTCCTCTTTTCCCCTCTTCCTTTTCTCTATGCTAGCTTCTTTTCTTTTCTTTTTTCCCTATTAACTCTATTTTTCTCTTTATATATAAAACCCTTATAACAACTGATTCTAGTAACTAATGGGTTTACTAATCATACCCCCGCCTTTACTCTTCACATTCTCATCCAATAGGCCTAATTATCTTATTTCTATTATTTCTATATCATTTCCACCAAATAAAATAATTCAAATAAATCAATTACGCACAAAATCACACAATTAATTAATTAATACAATATATATAAATGATTACTAAAAAATTGAGGTGCCATAATAATTCAAGGTCAATCAAGTAAACATTATTATCATGCTTTTTGAAAGGTTGGCTCATCCAAAAGTAATAATTAAATTGGTTGATAGTATTTTTTAAATGTTGCTTATAGATTGTTCTTACCTTATCAATTAGTATAACAATATATTTACAAGGAGATCAAAAGTTCTCTCAAAACCAACAAAAAAGTGTTATATTAATAATTTAATTAATTGACATAATCAATTATTAATTAATTAAATTAGTAAATTATAAATAAACATTAATTATTGATAAATCATTTAATTGGGATTTGTATTTGAATGAACCGTGATGGGTTATACCATTCAATTAAGCCTAATAAGGATAGTAATTCTCTCATACTCACTCTCCTCAATCGACAGTTTCTTCAATCCTACAAGGTACACGTTCATAACTATCTTTTATTATAATATGTTATAATTTGTATATATTGATTATCAATTATGTAGGTTAAATCCTTCAATTGGTATCAGAGCCTTGTAGATGCGTTTAACAGCTATCGTTTGAATCTGTAAAGCATGGATACTTCATTTTAGGTAAAGTACCGGTATCGGATACTAGTACACGTATGGTACGCACTGAAGTCGTACCAATATTTTTATTTTTAAAGTTGGTATACCAACCGATACACGTTTGAACTACATACCCAATTTTTATAAAAAAAAATCGGATGATATAATTTGAGTTTTTTTTACTAAGTAAAAATTAGGGTAATTATTCTATTTATAAATACAAAAGTGAAAGACCAAATCTTAATCCTTCTCTTCTTTCACAACCAAGTCTTCATCTTCTGCTTAGAGAAACAAGAGTACATATGAATTTATTCACTCATCAAAAAGGAATATGCTCAATCCAAATAGGGCTCAGATGGAAAATTTTAACTTTTGGCGAATACTCGTCGACCAAGACAGCTATGTTGATATTGTGTACTCCCAGCAGTTTTCCACGCTCCAGCTGAACGAATCACATTTGACTCCTTACGTGGGCTCTGACCTACAAGGTTTCAATGGGTCAGTGACAAAACCCTGGGGTTACGTTGAGCTTATCGTAACTTTTGGGTCCGCTGAAATGGCCA